CCCATGTGTTAAATTTTTCCTTTGTTTCTCTTGCCCTGGGCATTGTATCAGTGAAAATTGTGCTGTGTGTGATGTCTGAGATTTTGCTACCTACATTTTTTTCTAGGATTTTTATGGATTCACAAGTCACAATTAAAAGTTTTTTTTATCCATTTTGAGTTTATTCTTGTGTATGGTGTATGTTTCATTTTTTTGCATGTAGCTGTCCAATTTTCCCAACACCATTTATTGAAGAAGCTGTCTTTATTCCACTGTATGCTCTTGCCACCTTTGTCAAATATTAATTGAGTATAATGTCTTGCGTCAGTTTCCGAGTTCTCTGTCTTGTTCCATTGATCTGTATGCCTGTTCTTGTGCTAGTACCAGCACTATTTTGATTATAGTGGCTTTGTAGTATACCTGATATCCGATATTATAATCCCTCCTACTTTGTTCTTTTTTAAGAGCACTGTGGCTATTTGGGTCTTTTTTTTCTTGTTAGCCATATTTTACCTGTATTTGTCTACAAGCAAGTACTGTTACTAATTTTCTTGTAAAGCCTCATCCTGTATAATCTTGATATCTTTATATCCCTCTTAAAAAAACTATGAGCCAAGTTTTTAGCTGACCCAAAGGAACAAACACTACAGGCAAGACTACAGAGAAACTTGTGGGCAAACACTTGACCAAATTAGACAAAAGCTCAGATTGGACCTTCTCCTTCATTTGGTGTAAATAACGTGCTTTCTGTCAGGCTGTGGAGGTACAGAGATTAGTAACTGGAAGTACTCTTCACTCAGACCTTGCTTGCGGGGAGAACTGCAGTCTGGTCTCCTGGAAGAGCTTGCTAGTGAAAGTGATGTCCAAGGTGACTATGTCACAGTGTGCAGACATGTTTTTAAAACATTTGCATTCATTGTAACTTTGATACTTAAGATAATGTCTTAACCTAAAATTATTTGGCTATCCACAAAGGCTTTTAAATTGTACATACCCCATTCCCAGCACACACACATTCCTTCCTGTCCCTGTAGCATACTGATTTTAATAATGCTACTTTTTTAAAAAAAAATGTAAATTTTCTATAGTTATATTTGCTAAATTTATTCTAAATTAAGAATTTAGTATTGTCCAAGTTACAGGTTGCCCCGTTTAAGGTTAACTGAGAATTGACTGTGTTTCAGTCTATCAACTAAATAATTATGTTTTCTTGGAGAGGAGTTAGAAGTTAATATACTGCTTACATATCCATGGTGAGGATGAGTTGAAGTTGTGAAAGTGTACAGTTGTATAATTTTCTCCTCACAGCTTCAGGCATTTTAGTATTAGTGAAATGAAAATCTACTACCTGTTCTATAAGTAAAAATGATTTTAAAGCCCTGGCTGGTTTGGCTTAGCAGTTAGAGCGTTGGCCCATGGACCAATGAATCACGGGTTCGATTCCAGTCGAGGGCACGTACCTCAGTTGTGATTCATCCCCGGCCCTGATTAGGGTCCTTGAGGGAGGCAACCACTTGATGTGTCCTTTTCACGTCGATGTTTCTCTCTCTCTCTCTCTCTCTCTCTGTTCTCTCTCCCCTTCCCACTCTATCTGAACAAAAATGGAAAAATGTCCTCTGATGAGGATAAAAAAAATAATAATAATGTTAAACTTCTAATGTCTATCTGATTGGCAGCTGATTTTGAAATTTGACCTTTTTTTTTTTTTATCCTCACCCGAGGACATTTTTCCATTTTTTTGTACAGATAGAGTGGGAGGGAGAGAGAGAGAGAGAAATATCGACGTGAAAGGGACACATCGAGTGGCTGCCACCCGCACAACCAACCAGGGCCGGGGACAAACTGCAACCGAAGTACATGCCTTTAGCGGGAACCGAACCCGGGTCTCTCCGGACCGCAGGCTGATGCTCTAACTGCTGAGCCAAACCGGCCAGGGCTTGAAATTTGACCTTTGAGATAGATTCTTTCTTACCTTAATTGTTACTGACTTGTACCATAACTGATAATATTTTGAGTGTTTTTTTTTTTTTAATCCTCATCTGAGGATTTTTTTTATTTATCATCAGGTAGGGAGGGAGGGAAGAAGGGTGAGAGAGAGAGAGAGAGAAACAAACATCGACATGAGAGAGACATTGACTGGTTGCTTCCCACATGATCCAACCAGGGCTGGGGTTGAACTGCAACCGAGGTACGTGCCCTTGACCAGAATCGAACCCGCAACTCTTGTTCCACAGGCCGACACTCTTAACTGCTGAACCAAACTGGCCAGGGCATATTTTGAGTGTTATTAAAAAACTTATTAGGTAAACAAATAAAAATTGTTGAGTAATACAAATAGTACAAATTTATAAGCATATTTCTATATCTACTTTAGTTAACTGTGATAGGTGAAGGAAATTATTTTTAGTCAAGGCTACTCTCTAGGAAATCACTGATAGCTACATAGTTTAGTTGATTTTTTTTATTTCAGAGCTATATATGCCTATTGATTATGCCCAACCAGAAAGACAGCAGTACAGAGCAAGCACCCCTAAGTTAATGAGTTTCAAACATGAGGGACTATTTTTAACATCAAGCAACATCAGTTACCACTACATGATAGTAGTTATGCTTTTGGTATATATTGATGTGAAAATTTCATAGACCACTGTGATTCAATAATACGTTTAAGTAACTGTATATTTTATTATTCTAGATACCACTCGTGGACATTTAAAGCAACACATTAATTCTATTTTCTGCTTACAAGAAGGAGAATATGTCATTGCCTGTATTTTTCTTGTTCTTTGAATAGGTAAAAACTTTACTAACATTTATGAACTGATATCTTTGATCATTGACATACTCAGGTGGCTGCTAAGTACAATGGAGGCATTTGAAGGAAGAAGAAATACAGTCATGCAACATAATAGAAACAGCTTTTATTTTGTACTTATTTTTTTAGCAAATGCCCTTTGAACTTGATTTTACTCTTACTGTATAGATAATGTTAGAGATTTTTCAAAGAAAAGATTTAAAATAAACTCTTGGTTATTTCATGCATTTAAAAGCATTTAGCTGTTTCTGTTCTGTTGTTGATGTTTTGTTATATAGTCAGGTTGTTGATAATAATTTTAACATCAGAAGATAGGCCTCGAATTACCTGAGGGACAGGTATCTGTACTGTCCTCATAAGAGAGCGTTGAAATTGTGTGTTTTGTTGTAATTGTTAGAATTCCCTGCCAATGTGTGTGTGTGTGTGGTGGGGATCTGAAAAAGACCTTAAATTAATCAAAGATCAGCAACTTTAATGAAATTCTTAACCTATCCACTTTGAGGGTTTGTCACCCTTGACTTAGTTCAAATTGGGAACCAATCTTTCAGAATAATGTAGTATTTATGGGTTTTACCATGCCAAGTCTTTAATACTGTGATCATCATCATAATACAAAATGTGATGGGAGAGCAGGACTCTTTGCAAATGGCCCTGGGTGTTCTTCCAGGTTGCCCAAACAATAAGTTACCTGGTACTATTCCTCCATTCCTTCTCCCAGCAGGAGTTTCTGCACTCACATTTAGCTTACCTCTAGACAAGGCTTCCTTTTCATGCCTTCAGGGGCCCCGAGGTCTCTAGATGCTAGGCAGGTGGTTTCCAGCTGTCATGCAAATTTAGAATGCTTTGTGCTGGGTGGTGGGATTGTTGCTCCACTGGTAAACATGCTCTGGTTCTTGTACTGTAAGGGAAAAAAATAGCTCCGCTAGAAATTAGGGACTACAAACCAAAAGATCCAGAAAAGGAGAATTATAGTGAGTTATAATAAACGAGTTTTGTTTTGTTTGTTCTACAAAGCACCTTCAGCAACAGTGATAACAGACAGCCCTTTGTGCCTATGGCATGCAGGTCATTAAAAGATACAAAGATGGTTTTGTCACCTGAGAACTTGTCTCAAAATTAAGGCCCCTCTCTTTGACTGATACAGTATTAACCTTTTAGAGTGGGAATATGACCTGATATTTAATTAGATGTATAATGAGAATTTTGACATTCGTGAAAGGTTAACAGGAAGAGCAGGGTTCTGACATGAACTTTGTCACATTGTTGGCTGCAGATCAGTTGACTATGTTGTGGTTCTCACGGTAACTTTCTTACCCACGCTGTTGAGGTTCACTAGTAGCTTTTGAAGCATTCGCCCTGGGGAAGAGCAGTCTATAATAGAATCTGTAGAGGTTAAAATCTAGAAAAGATAGTATCTGGAGTGTTCTCTTCTGTGTTCAAAGGATGTTTCAAAATATCTACCACTTAACAGAATAATTAGATGGGCCTTACTTATGAAAAAGTGACTGTTTAGTGCATAGCACCAGAAGGTGTAGGGGAATGAAGGGGTTTTTGTTGTACAAAGAGCCAAAACAGTATCTGCTCAGGAGTTGTAAGATCCAGATTGAAAAAAAAAAAGTTAAAGATTAAGTAATTGCTTATTTATCTGTAATTTAATGGAAGGAATGAAAAACTGGTTGAGACTATGTGTGTCTTCTTAGCAACAGGAAACTTCTCAGATTTACATTTTAAATTGGGTTTTTAAGGGAATGGAAAAAAAAAAAACTTGGTACATGAAGGTGGGGAAAACTTCCAGGTGTAAAAACAACTTGAGGCAAAGCTAATTTGATTAGTAAAGGCAAGCAGGTGTGTATAAAACACTTACAAAAAAAAACCTTACATTTTAAATTACAGTATCTTGTCAAGACTAGTACTGGCTTTTATCCCCCCAAATTCAGTATAAGTGACCAAGTTCTCCTGTCCTTCCCAGTTTCCTATCTCCCATACTTCTTTGTAAGAGAGCTGGATAAACGATATCATAATAGATGGCATCACTTAAGGCAGGTAGTCTTGACATGATAAAGTTCTCTTTTCTTCTGTATTTTAACAATCTAGTAATAAATACCCAGTGAATGATTCTCATTTGAGAGCTAACAGTCATTGTTGAAAGCATGTAATGGTGGTATGCAGCAGTGTTAAATGTTCATGGTTTGCTTTCTTTCTCTAGAACACAAAGTGATTATAGTGGGACTGGATAATGCAGGGAAAACTACCATTCTTTATCAATTGTAAGTATGAGTGTTTATTTAAATAGTTTTCGTTATTTTAATTTTTGGAACTAATTTTGTATAATTAATAAGAACAAGGTGTAATAATGTAATGGAAAAATTTGAACCTATGGTTTTCTATTTTACCAAAAACAAAATTTATGAAAAAGTGAGTGAGATAAACTGTTCTATATTTGTTAAAGCCTTCTTTTCTGGCCTTGAAAGAAAGAATATTAAACTAGAATAAATAAAGCACATGTAATAGTGCTAGAGTTAGGTGATAAATGTACTTAGTTATTCTCACACTGAGGTTTATGTAAATAGATTGTTATCTCAAGGCTTAAGTTATTGCTACTCGCCCAATAGCTCTGGAAATGTTTAACAGCCAGACTTGTCAAATCAAAAGAAGTGAAGATTGCCCCTGAAAATACTGCTTTAGTAGCTTGAGACAGGGAGAAGCTTGAGACTTTTCAGAGAAACATGTTAATACTTTAACCGCCCATCAGTCCATGTGTCAAAGTATATCCCATTATCCTTTTCCTCCCAATGAAATGATCCTTGTTAAGCAATGAAAATGGATCTATGTCCCAAGCATGCTAACAAGTCATTATGAAAATCATAGTGCGCCACTGTGTGGCTCTTACGTCTTCCCACCTCATCGTAAGTATATCAGCTGACAGATGTCCAGAAATACTTCGCTTGAGCAGTGCTTAACATATTTTTCAGCACTTTGCTAAAAAGCCAAGTTATGACTGTTATTTAAGAGTCGAGTAGCTACTTCTTTGTCTTTAAAACAAAATATAAACATTTTCAGAAACTTGTCACCATTGTTGAAATAATTTTGTACATAGCTTCAAAATTATATATAATGCCCCAACGAGATTTGCGCACTTCTTCTAATACAACACTGGCATGTTATAGACAAATACATCTTTGTTGAATAAATTAATGTAGCTTAATGAATGATTATGATAATACATGTGATGTGAATATCAGTGTACTAAATATACTTAGAATTAATTTCAGTTAAATTTTTTATTTGCCCATAACTTTATCTTTTTAAGACTGTAGTTGAGGTTAATAGGCCTGAACTAACTTTTATGGCTGAACCAAGTCTCAGTTTTCTTACACAGACAGTCTTCAAAATTGCAGATGACCTCCTATTCCATGGATGCTGCATTGCAAGCATTGATGTCACAGTCACCTAGAAACTTGCCCTTCCAGAATGGAGCATTGGTTCTGCTCTAACAGATAATAGGGCATGGTGATACTAAAATTTTGGCCACAGAAATGCAAACTCACACCACAGAGTTCCTTCTGTCCAGATCAAGCCTGTAGTTTACTCCATTAAAAGAACAACAAAAACAACAGTTTTCCTTCAGGAGTTGTTCTTTGTCTAGATATTTGTATAAATGTTTTCTAAGGTTCTATATTTCATGCTTGTGGTGCCATCAGTGGTGCTAGAAAGGAAGATTGATTCCTGTTAAATATAGAGATTAAAACTTGCTTCAGTTTCTCAAGATTTCCAAAAGAGTTTTTATTATGTCTCTCTTTTCAACAGCTTAATGAATGAAGTGGTTCATACATCTCCAACCATAGGAAGCAATGTTGAAGAAATAGTTGTGAAGAATACTCATTTTCTTATGTGGGATATCGGTGGTCAAGAGTCACTCCGGTCGTCCTGGAACACGTATTACTCAAATACAGAGGTATACTAAAGTTACTATTAAAGTAAATTTTAATAAAAAGAATTGGACAATAAACCCAGAAAATAGGCTATACATATTGACAGCTGCTTTTTTTTTTTTTTTTAAATTCTTTTTCCTGTATTGATTTTAGAGAGAGAGATAAAAACATCTATGAGAAAGAACATCGATTGGCCGCCTCCTGCATGCCCCCTACCGGGGATCGGGCCACCAACCTGGGCATGTGTCCTGACTGGGAATCGAACTGGTGACCTCTTGGTGCATGGGTTGTTGCTCAACCACTGAGCCACACTGGGCAGATGACAGTTGCTTTTTAATAAGATTTTTTTGGGTAAGGAATTTGAGGTTTTCAAATAAAATTTAAAAAGGCAAGTAGGGTAATGGGAGCTATTATTAGGTGAGTGCTTACTGGTGTACAGGTGCTCAGTTTCTCCTCACCATAATACTGCAATATCTCCATTGGAGAAATTGGACCTGAGGATAAATTATATATATAATCTTTCCCAAGATCTCAGCTTTATTAGAAGCCTGGTTAGAAGAGAAATAAAATAGTTTAAGGATACCTAAATACAAAATTTTCAAATAACATGAATTGAACATTCAAAATTTTGCTGTGAATATATTTTAATTTTTTAAAAATGGATTTGCAGGCATTACCCCAGACTTCTCTGTCACTTATTTCATTATTAGTTCAGAGCCAACCTGGGGAACAAATCTAGAATATTTTCTATTTTTGTTTTTATTCTTAGAGGCAGATTTTTAAAAAAGCATGCAGTGCTGTTAAGAGAGACTTATCTTTGAGAATATTAATATATGATTATATCCATAATTTTTCTCTTTTTTTAAAATTTTTTATTTCTTCATTGATTTTAGAGAGGGAGGAAGGGAGAGGGAGAGACAGATAGAGACATGGATGAGAGAGAACATCTATTGGCTGCCTCCTGCACGCCCCCCACTGGGGATCGGGCCCTCAACCTGGGCATGTGCCCTGACCAGGAATTGAACCGGCGACCTCTTGGTGTATAGGTCGATGCTCAACCACTGAGCCACACTGGCTGGGCCCATAACTTTTCTTTACAAGGAGGTACACCGAACCAATTATTTTTTTCTAAAATGAAGCCTCTTAAATTGAGTAGGGTTTTTTGGTGGGGGGTGGAGGGGATACAAGGAATTTTTGGTGAATAAGTTGTCTTTTAAATAAAAACATGTATTCTTCTAGATTTATATTGTAATACCACATGTATAGTTGCGTATGTATTCTAGTACAGTGTATACTTGTCAAACCAATATAGCATATCATGGGTATTCAGCAATTATGGTAGTGCTTCATTTTTTTTTTTATTTGGAGGGGAGGATGGGTTGGTAAGAAATATTACGGTTAAAGGTTAGCTTAATATATATATATATATATATATATATATCTACAGTAAAATAACATTCTAAAACTAAAATATGTTGGAAAGTAAGGGAAGAACAACATTTTAGCATTGTGACTATTTAAACAGCATAGCTGTTGGTACTTCTTCAAAGCTCAAAATTAACTGCAGGTGTCAAAAAAGCAGATATCTTTGATGAACAGATCAACATTGATTCTTGCTGATCCCTGTGCATTTATAGCATTGCAAAGGGGTAGTTATTGAAATTGCTGAAAATTGACTTAGCATGGGACCAGAAAGACATACATGATTACTGACACCATTTATATAAAATGTTCTGTTAATCAATGATTGTTACAAGAATAGCAAAATAACTATCAAGAATCTTCAGCCTTTATTGCAGCACACCTGCATAACACATAGCATTTGCCATCTTAGATTTCAGATAGGGATCTTATTATCTGTTAGAGTCCCGTTGATGACTTTGTTCACACTTGTCATCTTGCTTCTTAAATTCTGTATGTTGTGGAGTCATCCAAAAGCTGAGATGTGTCCATTATAATACAAGGAGTTAAAATTGGTGACTAATTTCTGGCATCTGACTCGTATTAATTTACAGAGTTATTTCCATTCGAACTTTGCTGTGTTTCTTATATTTCTCTCTTTTCTTTTATCCCTAAGCCTCTCTCAGTCTATGTTCACATTTCCCTTAGTTGTCTCTTTCCTTAAGTTTAAAGTCATCTGAATAATCTGATTCTATCTTTCCTGTCTTGGTTGATTTTGCATCACTTTCTCTACTATAACCCTTAACTCCATTTAATCTCATTTCTTAATTGTTTCTTCTGCATAAGACATTCAATTTGGGAGCCCTTTCTCATCATATCTTATTTTTCTTATCAAAGATGCTTTTATTTTAATGTGTGAGACCCACCTTTTTTCATACACACAGTTGCCAACAGTGGTCCCAGTTTTCCTGGCTCTCTTTAATTTCACCTGCATCATCTTTAGCATATTAACATCTAAATATTTATGTTTCTATTTAGCACATCTTCTTGCACTTTTATTGTTGATACTATATAAAAAATGCTTTACTTACTAATTTTTTAGAAAAATATTTTTTTCAAACTACTTTGTGTACTTTCTTATAATATGTAGGAGACTGTTAAAAATAATTATTGATTGCCTAAATGAATGATTATAGAGTACTTTTAAGGTTTAGCAAAGTTATTTACTGTGATTTTTAAAAAATTACTTTTTATTACTTGCTTTTTAAAATAAATTTTAGTATTACAGAATATTTTGCATTCAAACACCACTTTTTAAAAATAAAATTGGGCATGGTTTGTATTTATTAAAGTTATAAGTTATTTTCTTATGAACATTTGGATTTTATTGCTTGATGTAATTCCATATAATATAAACTCTTTCTGATGAAAAAGCAGTAGACTGTTTTATAGTAATAATGATGCCATGTGAAGAAAGTACTTCTGTCACTTGAAAAGAGATTTGCAGAAAACTTCAACATCACATTCAGTTTTCTTTCTTTTTAATTGTCTTCTAGTTCATCATTCTTGTTGTTGATAGCATTGACAGGGAACGACTAGCTATTACGAAAGAAGAATTATACAGAATGTTGGCTCATGAGGTAAGTTTTGAAAGCAAACAAACAATGGAGTAAGGTATCTGTATACTGGTTTTTGCTTTTTTACAGCTATTAATGTGCTCTGGTATTGGTTATTTCATTATTAACAAAATTTTATATATTAAATTAATCTTAAACTCAGAAATTTTTACTACTTTTACAAACTTAAATCCAACATGTTAATTTGTACACTATTGTTATTGAAAAGATTTTTCAAAGTTAAAACTACTTATTTGTGCCTTAAAAAGTCAGTGCAGGAAAGGGGAAAACTTAGTGTTTAAAATCCTAAGTTTATTGTAACTGAAAATTCTTTAGTAAATAATTTATCACTTAATTCTAAGTAGTTCAAATATACAAAACTTCAGTGATAAAACATATTCATGCATACACATTCAACATAAGACAGTATCTTTTAAGATTTCTCCAATTTGATTTTCTTTCTCAAGGAATCCAAAATGAATTCCATTATTCTAAAATAGTGATTATCATTCCTATGAATATTTTTATACTTCTACTACATTGTTATGTACCTGTCAGTTGTACAGAATATTATATGCCATGCTTATAAAACTTTATGTAATGGTTATATGTCTTTCTATAACTTGATTTTGTGGCACAGCATTGTAATTTATCCAGGTTAGTACATATAAGTTCTTTTGTTTTAACAACAATATAGTATTTCACTGTATGACTATATCATAGTTACTCTGTTCTTCTATTAATGAACATTTAGGTTATCTCTAATATTTTAATAGTGTAAACAATGTTGCAGTGAACTTTAATGAATGAGCTTAAGATATACAAAGACTAATAAGTAGTAAGTTTTGCCCAGTTCTCTTCCTCAATACTCTCCTTTAATTTTTGGAGAAACTCTATAGTATTTGACAACATATTACTATATTTGCCCATTAGAATATTGTTCATACAGTTTTAAGTCAGTACTTAAGATTCAGGTTTATTTTGCTGACCCTGTTGGCCCAACAATTGAAAAATAACTTAATTGTTTAGCTTATGTTAATCTTTCTTTGTTAGAGTCAATTATTAAATCATGGTTATTGAGGATAATTTACTTTTGTTTCCATAAAATTTTTAAATTAAACATTTGTGCCTGATCATTTTTAAGTAGGGGGGTTTCATTATAACTCTCCAGTAAGGGCACATTTAATTCTTCTGCTTCATTAGTTTAATTTGAATTGTGACATTTCAGGTATTAGAACTATTTCATATTGATTGCAGGATTTACGGAAGGCTGCAGTCCTTATCTTTGCAAATAAACAGGATATGAAAGGGTGTATGACAGCAGCTGAAATCTCCAAATACCTCACCCTTAGTTCAATTAAGGATCATCCATGGCACATTCAGTCCTGCTGTGCTTTAACAGGAGAAGGGTAAGTGCTGATCAGTGTGAAGGGAGCAAGGACTTCTTATAAATTTCTTTCTATTCTTCTTAGGCCAACTTGTTTTTGTCTTTGATCCTGTTCCTTTTTGGTCCTCAGTTAAAGATGGTTTTTATACTGTGTCTCGGGGTTACAAGACTGAAATAATTTTAGTCAGTTACAATTGTTAAATCACAATTTAACAACATAATTGACAGTTTTTATAACTTTTAATATAAACAGAATGTTGTACCAAAAAAGTAATAAACCTTTTTTCACAATCCAAAATTTTAACTGTTCATTTTTTGGTTTTATCATTTACTAACTGAGAGAAAACTATAATGCCACTTGAATTAAAGGGGAAGGATCAGCCCTGGCTGGTTTTGCTCAGTGTTTAGAGCATCAGCCCTCCCACTAAAGTGCCCTGCGTTCAATTCCGGTCAAGGGCATGTACCTCGATCGTTGCTGGGTCCCTGGCCCTGCTCGAGGTCATGAGGAAGGCAACCAGTCTATGTGTCTCCCTCCTTTTCCCTCCTTCTCCTTCTCTCCCTCCTCCCTCCCTCCCTCTCTCCCTCCCTCTCTCCATCTCTTTCCCTCCCTCTCTATCTGACGATAAATGGAAAAATATCCTCTGGTGAGGTTTTTTTAAAAAGAGGAAGGTTCATAGAAGTTTCACATTTTCTGCAAAGGCTTAATTAAGCCTAAACTTCCAGCTTTCCACAGAGTATATTTCCTTTATTTATCAGGAGTCCTTTGGGGATGCATAGTTCCAGATAATTAACATTTGAAACAAATGTCATTATAGTATTTTCTGCCTTTCCTAAGAATTTGAGTTTGGATAAATTGGCCAAGAGGAACCCAGTGTGTTACACATGGATTACCCGCTTTATTTCCAGGATTGATTTATGCTCAAATTAACTTGACCTTCTTAGTTTTTTTCCTACTAGAAACAGCTTGTATTATAATGGTTACATGTAGACTTTTGTACCTATAGTTTTTAGATTGGGCCATAAGCTTCCATTCTTTAGAATTTAGGAGGGGAAGGGGAAGTTCTGTTGTCTTTTTCTTTTATCCTCACCCGAGGACATTTTCCCATTTTTTATTCAGATAGAGTGGGAGGGAGGGAGAGAGAGAGAAACATCGAGGTGAAAGTGACACATAGAGTGGCCGCCACGCACACGACCCAACCAGGGCCGGGGACAAACTGCAACCGAGGTACGTGCCCTTAGCGGGGAACCGAACCTGGGTCTGTCTCTCTGGACTGCAGACCGAGGCTCTAAACGCTGAGCCACACCAGCCATGGCTGTTGTCTTTCTATTGTGGTTGCAATTTTAGTTCATCTTAGAAGGGTGGGGTTGAGGAGTATTTGCAGCCTTGGTGGCAAAACCCCGGAAGCTGTATCCTCAAGATGAGACTGGAGTAATTTCCCACATTACTCAATTGAGGAAGGCCATTTTGTTAAGTGACTCTTCCACTTAAAATTTCCTCTTTTAGTGTAACTGAACATTGTCACTTAAGTGTATAAATAATTATTTTAGTACCAAGCTTTTAGTAAGACTAAAAATAATTACGCTTTCAATTTTTAAGTATCAAGTTTTTCATTTTGAAAATACCTTTCTGTTTTGTTTCAGGTTATGCCAAGGTCTAGAGTGGATGACCTCCAGAATTGGTGTGAGATAACTTTTTTACTCGAAAGAGACTGCTCTATTTATTCTGTGACATGAACATTTTTTCCTAGTACCTTCGGCTGCTGAGGCAGCAGCATGTTTAATTTATAACAACACAAACCTCTATGAGCAACACTTGAATCAAGTGCAGCTGAACTGGAACGTGGAAGATTTTTTCTTAACTTTTTTTTTAATGCACTAATCTTTAGTTGGATGAACACTAATGTATCATTGTGTTTTCAGCTGTTGCGGTGAGGGTCTGCGAAATGAACAAAAAACACAAACACATACAAAGACAGACAAGACTGCAGCCCCGAAGTCCTGCAGCTGTTTATTTTTATAGCCAAAGGGTTGCCATGGTCCCAGTTCCTATCAAGATAACTAATCTATTTCCCCTGCTAAAAGGTCAGTGCTGCTCTTAAGAGTATCTCATCCTTCCTGTTTGCAGGCAAGGAGGAGCGAGCATGTGTGCAGGACCTCGCTCTGAATTGTTCTTAAGGATTGAGCAGCACTCCAAGGCATCTGTGTGCAGAATGTCCTTGTTAACCCTTGCGTGAGTCCATCCGTGTGCGGAATAAACTCACATACAATCTACATTTCCCCCTTTTTTATTTTATTTGAGATGTTACATACTGTAAGGTTGACAGCATATTTTGGTTGTTGTTATCTACTGCTCGCTGCTGGGACCATCGGCGGAAGACTAGAAAAGCAACAAACAAAATTAGCCCTTGCCGGTTTGGCTCAGCGGTTAGAGTGTCGGCCTGTGGTCCAGAGAGACCCAGGTTCGGTTCCTGCTAAGGGCGCGTACCTCGGTTGCAGTTTGTCCCCGGCCCTGGTTGGGTCGTGCGGGTGGCAGCCACTTGATGTGTCCCTTTCACATCGATGTTTCTCTCTCTCTTCCTCTCGCTCCCTCCCACTCTATCTGAACAAAAAATGGAAAAATGTCCTTGGGTGAGGATAAAAAAAATAAACAAAATTATAAGTAAAACAATGGTATTACTAAGAATAGTGCCTATAAGAATCTTTGTCCAAAGGGATTTAAATTTGCTATTTCATCAGCCAAGCTTTCTAAAATATCACCTCCTGTGAGAGATGGCAAGTTGTTGCTTTAAGTATTTTCAATTTCTTTCTCTAGAGCTAGAATTTTATTGGTTAGATTAGCATGACCTATTAATGTTCTCTTAATTTTATCCCAACCCTCTGATACACCAGTCACATTTTAACATAGATTTTGTGGATAGCACAGAAATCTGATCTCCCAACCACTCAACAGTTTGTTTTAAGTTTTGGATGTCCATTGCTATTTGAGAGTCCAATTCTTGTTGTTGCCATAATAAATGTGAATCCCGATGCCAGTTCTGAACAAACTCTGCAGTTTGGATGCCCTGATGTAGAGCCACTCCGGCAGCAGTAGCGGTAGCGGTTACAGCAGCAAGTCCAAGAATGGCAGCTATAATCAATCCGATGACTCGACGCCAGTGCTTTAAAATAGTGTCCACGACATGGTACAGGGCTGTAAGCCCAGCAGATTCACTTCATGGTCTTGTAAGATTAACAAGCAACCAAAGTTCTTTTCTGGATCTGGTGATTAAAAGGCTGTCTGGTGTCTAATTAAACGCATTCCACCATGATAAATTAATGCATTGGAGAAATTGGCAATTCCGGCAATGAGTTTCTCCATTGCTTTTGTTCCTTGTCCGCTCTCCAGCAACCAGTAGATAAGGGTAGGGTAGCACAGGCGACCCCAATAGGAGCCATTAGTATGTAAGTTGACAAAAAAAGGACTACCAGAAAGATTTAATGACATTTTACTTATCCATGCATGGATTGGCTCTCCTACAGACACAAGTTTCCATATGTGGCCCTGGCTTTTGGGATGACCTTGAAGGTGAGGCATGGGAGGAGTAAGACCGCTTTCCTGCCAAATTACAGTTTCATTTCCTTGGCCCAACAGACTCTGACCATGTCTGTGCCAATATAGATTATGCTTAGAGAATTTTCCCTGAAATTGTCCATGGGGACTCCAATCAGTAATAACAATTCCAGTGTCAGTGTCATTTAGTAGGACAGAGGGATTATGACCCCGGCAGGCAGTCCATTCTAAACGCTGAAATCCTGGCTCTAATTGTGGCAGAGGGCATAAAGTTAAATAACTTTCCAAGTCAGAAGTAATAGCCTGATTCGTGTTCACCTTAAATCCTTTTACTGACAACATGACAATAGAAGAGGCGAAGGTAGAGTGGTTATAACGAAGACCCCAAGCCTCATGTGAAGGTTTCAAGCAAAACTTATGACCAATGCATATAGGGTATCCTACTACTAACATCAGTGTGCAGAATGGAGGGATGAGTAGCCATCCTCCGCAGGAAGGAACGGGAAATATGAAAGTGTTACTAGTACAGACAGGGATTTCATCTTCTCCCCAAGCCACCCCTCGTATCAGAGGGGGGTATGGAATATAAGCCCAGTAGGAATAGGGAGTAGTTGAGACTATACTTACCTGACATGTGATAACGGCCATCATTGCCACCAAAATATTAGTTGGTGTTTGCAGCTGGTTCAGACGGCGAAGCGCATTCTCGGCTTCCTGGGTCAGTTTCTTCAGTTGACCCCATGTAGGGAGCTTGGCTTGCTGGGTTCCCACCATAGTGGTATGGTTTGTGCTCATTTGGGAGAAAGCACGGAACAGCGTGTCGCCCACGGGCTGAGAGTTGCTCATTACCTCCACTTTAACCGGCGGGTGGGTAGCCACTCAGAAGCTTCCCCTGTGGAAATATAAGCAAATCCTCACCCCAAATGCAGAAGTTCTCCCTCTCTCCAGGCTCCATCTAGGGTCTTGTACCAGTCAGGACGAGCCAAGCCTTTATCTGTGAACATTGTTTGCTCTTCTGCAAAATGTTTTTCTGCCACAGTCATGCCAATTTGATCCCAATAATTAAAAAAATTGAGAGTATATAATACTTTATGGAGAATATCTTTAGGTCTCACACCTCGTATTCCCCCTTTTTGTTTTTGTAAATAAGATCTTAGAGTGCAATCTGCACGTTCGATGATGGCTTGTCCTTGACTGTTAAAAGGGATACCTGTACTATGTGAAATTTTGTATTTGTTCAAAAAGTCAGCGTATTTTTAAGAACAATAAGCCTGGCCATTATCGGTTTTAATGTGTTTTGTCTTCCCCATGACTGCAAAGCAGATTAATAAATGAGAAATAACCGAGTCAGTTTTTTCATTAGACCTAGCAGACGCCCAATGGAAATGTGAATAAGTGTCAATGGTATGATGGACGTATTTTAACTTTCCAAAAGGTACATATTGGACAACGTCCATTTGCCAAATTTGATTAACATCTCGACCCCGAGGATTCACTCCGGGGGTAGAGCACATAAATTGTGAGGAGCACAAATATCACAGTTGCGAAGGATCTGTTTTGCTTGTTTATAGGTTAAATTATATATAATTTTTGAGCCCTGAAGCGTTAGTGTGATGTGAAGCATGTTCTTCAATAGCCTTTTTAACAGAGCCAATAAGTAACTTATCAATATGTTGATTCCCCTGGCATAGGGGACCTGGCAAGTCTGAATGAGATCGAATATGAGTAATAAACACTGGCATCCGTCTTTGGGTAATACATTGGAACAATATAGAAAATAACTTTTCTAAGGAGGAAGAGGGCACCAAAGGAAGAGACACTTGTGAAATTAACTGTGTGATCAGTACTGCATATTGAGAGTCAGAGACAATATTAACAGGTATCTGGGCATAGTCTTGTAAAACTAAACAAATAGCCCATAATTCTGACTTTTGCACTGAATCCCACGGTGATTTTTGAACATTTGTTTGATTCTCAGTCCAATAGCCAGCATTGCCTTTGCTGGTGGCATCTGTAAAAATCATAGGTCCTTCTGCAGGAATATCAGAAATTGGGTTATAAGGTAAAATGGCATGTTCCTTAAGAAAACTGAATAGCTTTGTGGCAGGATAATGATTGTCAAATTGACCTGGATATCCCGCTAGGGCCAGCTGCCAGTTTTCATTGTTTTCTATTGCTCTTGAATCTGTTTGTGCTGCAGGCGCGTAATTACAGAACTTGGCTCCAACCCGGCCAGTTGACATAAGCGCCTCCGGCCTTCGTAGATAAGGTAAGCAATTTTGTCTAGGTAGGTAGTTAATTTTTTATTGAATTTATTAGGCAAAAACAACCACTCTAAAACTTTGGCATTCTGTCCTAAGCAGGCGGTGGGAGAATGAGAGGCACGGAAGATATAGAGCTGCGCTGGCTTAGTAGGGTCATAAACGTCCAACTGCTTCTGAAATTCTTTGCTCTCTAAACTCTAGCTCTTTGAGAGCTTCTGGAGTCAAAGTTTGCGGACTGTGGAGGGCGGCATCTCCTTCTAATGTTGCAAAGAGATTTTGCAAAGCACTAGTCGGGATTCCTAAAGCAGGCCTCAGCCAGTTAATGTCTCCCAGTAATTTTTGGAAATCACTTAAAGTAGTTAATTGATCTGTTCTGATATTGATTTTTTATGGTTTTATCTGTCGCTCCCCAAGAGTATAGCCCAAATAATTAAAGGGAGGTTCTAATTGTACTTTTTCAGGGACTATACATAAATTAAATTGCTGTAAAGCTTCTTTGAGCTCCTTATAGTAAAGATTTCTTTCAGTTAAAGTGGAGCTGCTAGCAATATATCATCCATGTAATGATACAGAATAATTTGAGGATACTTCTCTCGTAAGGGCTGTAAAGCTCTGCCCACAAATTCTTGACACAAAGTAGGACTGTTAATCATTCCTTGGGGTAAAACCCTCCATTGATAACGTTCAGTAGGCCTGCTGTTGTTATACTCAGGGATAGTAAAGGCAAATGTAGCTTTGTCCTGTTCTTGTAAAGGAATCGTGAAAAAAACAATCTTTCAAATCAATGACTAAGATTTTGTAGGACTCAGGAATCATGGATGGCAATGGAAAGCCAGGCTGAAGAGGCCCCAGAGGTTCTATACATTTATTAACTTCCCTTAAATCTATTAGGTATCTCCATTTGCCACTCTTTTTCTTAATTACAAAAACAGGAGAGTTCCATGGAGATGTGGTAGGTTCTATATGACCATCCTCTAACTGTTGTTTCACTAGAAGTTTTAAAGCCTTGAGCTTTTCTTTTGTCAGAGGCCATGCTCCACCCACTGTGGTTCTTCAGTTAACCATTTGAGAGGGAGGGCTCGAGGTTGCGAAACAGTGGCTACAAGTTTTCCGAAGGCACAGGGTTAAAATTCATATTACGCATCATGTTTTTACTGATCGAGGCAAATGTGGTATCTGTAAAAATGCCCCAAATTGTTGTAATAAATCTCGGCCCCAGATATTTATCGGGACGTCCACTATGTAAAATTGAGTTTGGGCAGTTTGTCCATCAGGGCCATAACACAATAATTTGTGTGTACTTTGAAATACCTGATTAGTGGATCCTAGTCCAGACAAAGTGACGGACACGGCTTGATAAGGCCACGAGGGTGGCCAAAACTTGAGTGCTATGATAGAAACATCAGCACCCGTGTCCACGAGGCCCTCAAATACACTGTCTTGAATAGTTAACTTCAGAGATGGGCAAGAGTCACTGATTAATGTTTCCCAAAAAACCTGTTTTCCTGTACTCCCCAAACCACCCTGTCGGTCAACATTCTGAGTTTTAAAAGAATGATAAGGCAAGAGGAGCAGTTAAGCAATGCGTTCCCCAGCGGCTAAACTCCAGGTTTGTGGTACTTGAGCCATAATTTTTATCTCTCCCTTGTAATCCGAATCAATAACCCCTGGATGGACTTGAAGGCCTCGGAGAACAGAACTACTCCTCCCTAGTAGCAGTCCAAGTATTTCTCCGGGAAGTGGCCCCAAAACCCGAGTAGATAATTTATAAACTCCTCCAGAAGGGGAGAGAGTGTAAGGTTGGCTTACAGGCAAACAGCCGCAGCACTGCGCTTTATAGCTGCCCTTAAATCTTTTACCCTAATGATTGCTGATGTTGCAGGCCATTGCTGACAGGGAATTGCAGAGACCCTGTATTCTGCTGGGGCCCCAGGGTTGTGGGCCCCTCTGGGCATTTCCTGACTGCGGGGTGTTTTTAGGAGCAGCAGGGTTAATCCAATTCCCACCTTTGCCCTTTTTGGAAAAACATTCATTAGCCCAGTGATGGCCTTTTTACACTTAGGACAAAGGCCTGGAGGTTCTTTCTTAGTATCTTTAACTTCCACCTTTTTCTTTTTTCTATAATCCTTTCTGAAATGTCCTGGCTTTCCACAATTGTAACATGTTCCCTTATTATTAAGGGCTGAGGCTAAGGCAGTAGCGAAAACATTAGCATGATGCTCTGGGCCGCCCACTCCTGCACAGGCCCGTATATAATCATCTAAGGAGGCACCCTTCCCCTTTATGGGACTTAGTATACGCCTTCATTCTGAATTTGCGTCCTCGAAAGCTAGAGACTGCAAAACTATTCTAGCAGCTTCTCCTTGACCGATTCCTCTCATCACAGCATTTGTTAACCGAGATAAGAAATCAGTATATGGCTCCGTAAGACCTTGCATAGTTATCACTACCTGCTTCCATTCCTTCAGATTAAATTGTACTTTATATTGGCTAGCAAACCAGTAACATTTCTGATTTATATGCTTAAATAATTTCTTAAAGCGCTCGTCAGTTGCTTCAACTGCAGTGGAGTGCGACAAACCTTTGAGGAGCTTTAAATACTCCTGTTCCATTGATGGGGAATTCCCCATTTTTATCCTGAAAGTTCCCCTGTATATACTTTTCGTTCCGGGGTACTTACCCTTTCGGTTTCACTATCCCTTCTTTCCACCCGCAGGGAATTTCTCTGGTCCCATATTTCGGGTCCCTGTTCGGGCACCACATGTTGCGGTGAGGGTCTGCGAAATGAACAAAAAACACAAACACACACAAAGACAGACAAGACTGCAGCCCCGAAGTCCTGCAGCTGTTTATTTTTATAGCCAAAGGGTTGCCATGGTCCCAGTTCCTATCAAGATAACTAATCTAACTATTTCCCCTACTCAAAGGTCAGTGCTGCCCTTAAGAATATCTCATCCTTCCTGTTTGCAGGCAAGGAGGAGCGAGCCTGTGTGCAGGACTTCGCTCTGAATTGTTCTTAAGGATTGAGCAGCACTCCAAGGCATCTGTGTGCAGAATGTCCTTGTTAACCCTTGCGTGAGTCCATCCGTGTGCGGAATAAACTCACATACAGCCTACATCAGCAACAGAGTTTTTCTGACTGCTTATTCTAATTAGTCAGTGACTGCCTTGTAAGAAATGTTTGTCATATGTTTAATGTTTTCTGAAGTATTGTAATAACTTTAATGACCAAGTTCTTTCATTTCTTGACTACCCTTACCCCCAGCAGATAATTATTGGTTTGTCAAAGTGGTCGTGGAAGTCATCTGGTACTGCTTACAAACTTAACCAGCACTATGTATTTGCTCCTTCTATAAACCACTCATCTTTTGGACAGAACATCCTTTAGAGAAAGAAATCTGATATATAAGGAAGATTAAACACCATGAGAACTGCCTTTAAATGAGTGCAATTCCCCTACATTATTGCAAGTCATAGAATAATTTTAAGTTACTGTTGGCATGGAAATTAAGTGGGTTATTTATCTAAAAACATTGAGTCTACATTTCTGCCTATAATATGGGATTACTTTTGGTTAAAAACTAATCAAGGGGAAATATTTATTTGAATGCCCTACATTTATGGTAAATATTTTGAATAAATCTGGTATTTTAAGGATGCCACATTATTCAATGCACATATAAATATTGGAAGTTTTTAAAACATACCAGCACTAATATTAAAACCAGTCACTTGGAATATATTTTACTATCAATTACAAAGAACTTTATTATCAGCCTAAAGT